AATAGTATAAATTGAAAACAATGAGTAATAGATCTATGCTTTCAGAAAAATTAACTTGATATAAAATCAATAAATCTATGTCAAAACAATTTAAGCTTACTCTTAATGAATTCATTTACATAAATTAGCTTATATATAATTAACTTATAGTACATCATAACACATATTTTTGGTATTATTGTCCATACAAAAATTATATTTTTTTCATAAATTAGTTAGTCATCCAATAATTTTTATGGGGTCACAGTCTTAAGTTCTTTGTTTCATATTTGCTATTTTTCTGTTAGAACAAAAAATATTTAATTTATTTTAGGTATGGTTTATATTATGATAAATTTTGCTTCAAATTTAACGAAAAAACGTCTCTTTAATAACTTTGGTAACTTATTATCATATGTACTTCTTAATTTTAAATTTAATTTTACCTCGAAGGCTGCAAATAATCATTTCATCAACTCTGCCACTATTTGCATTGTTACAATGAAGATATTTTGTAAAGATGAATGGGATTTTTCAAAACTAATTCAACCCTATTCTTATTTAGGTTTTTTTTTATATAAAATTAGATAGATTTTTTTATTTTCTTATTTTTACTATACTATACTAATAGTTTTAATATAAAATTTTCTAATGGCGTTACTTAATAAACCAATGTTATATTAATTATTGTTTTATTAAACCGGCAGGGTGCCATCTGTCAACAATAGTTTTAAAAATTATGATGTTTCATGCTTATAAACTGCCAAATCATGAATAGCTAATGAATTCCCCTAGAATTTAAGATAGGCACAGAATAATATGCTGTACGTCATTATCCCGTAGTATCAGATAAAAACATACAAGCTCATTCAGTTCACAATAATTATAACGTTATTATAAAATATATTTTAATTTAAATTACATTAATTTACAACAAATAGTTCATATACAACAATAAAATAGTACCGAAAGCGATTAATGATATTATCTCATCCTTTTTATGACATGCAATATTTGGTTAGGGTAAAATGTTTTTTTTTTTTAATAAAATACTGACATTTCATTCTTATAATACTTAGCTTGAACTAAATTTTTATATTGTTAATTATTCAAACGTAATATACTCACATGTTGTTCCACGGAATAAGAAAATATTAAGATAAAATTTTTGATAAGCACTTAACAACTAATTATAAATATTTAATAAAATAAAGGCAGTTTTAGTTTGATTAAATGAAAAAACAAAAACAACATAGGTCAAAGGATCGCTACAGAAATATTAATTGTTTTTCAATGCCACGTCCTTTTTTCTTTTAAGCATTTATTATATTAAAGGTGAACTAGATAGTTACACCGACTTTGATCCGATTGAAAAAATAATTTTTCCTGTTTATTTATGTTATTTTCGTTAATAAATTAAGTATATTTATTGAGTATAATCATTTTATTTAATTGTAAATTTAAAAATACAAAAAATAAAAATAAAATGATGTTCGAAATGATCATAGTTATTTAGATTTGTAAAGTTTACTAATGTAATGTTGCCAATTTAACCATGTGGTCAATTAAAAATGTATATATTTTTATTTAAGCCTTTTGGTCGGGGTAAATTCTAAAAAAATGAGTATTAGCTGTAGTACAATTTCTACTGATGTTGTTTCAATGGTGTTATAATGAAGATAGGGTGTGGATGTAATTTTAATTGTTAAAAATCATGTGCTAGAGATATAATTTCCTTCCACTCTTTTTACATCGCCTTTAGTAAAGTATAATTTTTACCATTTTTTCATAAATTTGCAATATCACATTCTGTTGTCGTGATAATTAAGGCAACCATAATAATTATTGGCAACAAATTTAAATGTTTCGACGCAGTTTTGTGCAATGTAGATACTTCGACGTTATTTAATAATAGTGTAATGTAAACATTTAGCTTCAAATATTTCAAAAACTTTATTGTCAGGTTGCATAAAATCATCTGTACATTTTTTTTAATGATTAGATTTAATGAATCATTAAATAGTTTTATTGAATCGTTTCTGTTGCATAAACGATATATTAAATGTATTATGGTTAATAACATAATTACCCGGTTAGTTGTTGGTTTATTAATCTTATCACATAGAAAATTGATAAAATTAATTATGTGACGTGTTTGTTGCTTTCTACTTAAAGTAATTTATCTTCATTCTCGTTCTAATCTACTGTCTTAAACATGGCGGATGATTTTAATAAACTGTTATTGAAAATAAGGTATTCTTGTTGTACATAATCTATCATTCATAATGCATAGTGTCGTACTAATAATTATTCTTAAATAAATTATTAGAAACATTTCGCAAATTACGAAATGTTTATATAATTAAAATAGACACGTATACATGAAATTACAGTGTAAAGCTATCTTGATAAATAAATAAATAAGGCTTATCGGTGCAAGTGTAAATATTTAAGTTTAGTAATCAATACTACCGTGGCTTTAATTTAATTCGCATAAAAAAAAAAAATTCATAAGTCATGATAAAATTGCATTAGACCAAAATTTACTATTTTAAAAATATAATACATTTATAAATCATATCGTGACTATAAAGTTCATAAAATCGTTTCAACAAGGTATAAAGTGTTTTAAATTTAATTTAATAGAAATTTACTATCAAAACAAACGTTTGGTAATAAATTCAGGTCCATACCAAAGATGAGTTGCATAAATAAAAATCATTATTTCGTAAAATTCGAATTTTGGGACTTTTACCTTAATTTTCTGAATATTTTACTATTTTTTGAACTTAAAATATTGGTTTTAGAAAGAAAATAAAAATTTTTTTTTTTTAGAATATGTAATTTTCTACATATTTTTGTATATTTAATATTTGGTGAGTTATTAAGCGATGTTCCAAAAATAACAAATTCAAATTTTGAGTTTAAGTCGCCATGTGTTAACATAATTGGATTTATGTCAAATTTTGCAAAAATAATAATAATAATTTACTTGTTAGAATAAAAAAACCGGTCCTCGAGAGAATTAAAAAAATCGCCAAATTCCTGACACCCTAGTGTATATAAAATTAATTATCAAACTACTTCTTAGCATCGATGCAAAACTGAAAAAGAATTAGTTTTACAACGATATTGCTCAAAAATACGTCAAAAAATCATAAAAACATCTTGCTGAAGTGTTCAGCACTAAAATTTTTACTGATTTCCTTTTAAATGCGACATGATAACGCGTTTCCCTCAGTCGCACACTACGTTATCATCCTAAAGCTATTGTTAAGTAACTTATGCGATGAGCTTTTTATTGCAGTACACTTGTAAATTGCTTGATCACCAAGTACATAAATCTCTCATATTAAATGTAGAAGTAAATTTTTAACTACAAAAAAGTAAATCATTTTTTAATAGTACAAATTCATTATTCAAATCCGACGTTTCTATTGCTAATGAACTGCTGAAATCGCATAAACGATAAATAAAACGATATAACAATATAACGAAGAATAAAATCAATATAGTTTAAATAATACTACTTAGTAATTTATAAAATTTGAAGAAAAAAAAACAATAATTCGCTATTGAAAAAATAAAATTTATATAATTTTTATTTAGACGAACGTTTAAATTTTTAATGACATGAAATCGGGTCATAATTATGAAGGATTGGTAACCACTTTTTTAGTGGATCAATATGTTAAATCAACGTTTAATGAATCGTTAAATAATTTATTCAATCAATAGCGCCTTATTGGTTCATTAAACGTTTAATGAACTTTAATGCAACCGGCATAAGAACGGATGAAGATTCAAAAATAGTTCATTTTTGCTATTATTTCCCCCTATTAGTGATATGCAGGAATTTGTATCACTAACAGAATTACACTTGTATCGTAAAACACATGCGTTTTTTAGTTAGTTAGTAGTAACATAATGAAAATGTTAATCTAATAAGTATGGTATCAATAACTAACTGAAAGAAAACTATGAATGAATTAATAAAATATCATGAACTCATTGTAGTTCGAGTATGTCTCATATTCACAAACAACTCTTGTTGTGGATAAATACAGAATGACTCGGTAAAACTTTTGTAGCATCGGAGGTTTATGTTTTCTTTTGTCTGTTAAACAAATGATGAACCGTTTAAATCTATTGAGCGCGTGCACCGGCGTAAGGAGGCCACAAAAAGGCTTACGGATAAATCCTGTTCGAAGATCAATAATCCTAAACAATGTTTGCCCGTTATTTGTATGCAAATCGATATGTTAGATAACATGAAGTACAGACTACATCGTGTATACTGTACTGTGTGCGGAACACGTTTGATTCGACCGATACACAGTTTGTTTAGTTAATTGTTAATTATGTAATCTAACAAGTATAATTTGATAAGTTCATGTGAAACATGTTTTGTGCCGTCAAATTCAAAACTACACGCCGGCTACTTCGGGCGCAACTTGTTTTGGTCACCACTGATTAGCAACCGGTCGTCTTGTAACTACCACAGTCGGTTTACACGCGATCATGGGCAAGAGGCCGCGGCGGTAAAAAAATCTAGAAGGAGAAAGACAAGTGTTGAATATTATGAGGTGTTGGGTGCCCGTCAAACGGCCGTACTTAATGTCTTCACGCCGTGCAGCCGAAACTAATTGTAAAAGATGTCTTCATCGTGTCGTTCCCGCCACTTGTTCAACACCGCAGGAAAAAAAAAACTGTACACACAACACATACACACAGATGTCAGGATAAAGTGGCATTACATTATCCGTGTACAAAGACGGTAATATAATAATAATAATAATAAAGACATCATTTTTTTCCTATCTCTTTTTACAATGTACTCGGACGTTATAGTTTTGCTTTTTTGACGGAAATCATAATTATTATTGAATTATTATAACGCCGTCACGTCATTCTATCCTTAGGCGTATGCGTCCTAAAAATTACACATCGAAAGTATTCATACGTCTCATACCAAAGGAAATGATAAAGATAATTAAAAAAATACATTTTTTCTTCAAATTATTATTCAACGTTGTCGTCGTTTTACGTTTAATTCAATTTTAATACAATCGTATACATTTTACATTATTATTTTTTTTATAATATTTTAATTATTTATTCATACACAATATATTATATATGACGATGCCTTAATTATAAAAACGTTTGTTTCGCGTTATATTTTTTAATTAATAAATGAATTAAAAGTCATTATAAGAAAAAACATACTGCGGTGTGTTACAAAAGTAATATAATTAATATATTATAATGGGTACCTAATAACTATGGGAAGATGGTCGGCGGTAAGGATGATGATGATTATGATGATGATGATGACGACGATATAGTCTTCTTAATATGTATTATTAAAATATAATTCAACAACAACTGGGACGTTTGTTGAAAAAACAAGGGGACTGTCAGTACACGTTACAATCAAAAACTATTCGACTTAACGCCAACATTACGATTATTGCACTCGTATATTTTATCAAATATGATTTATTCAATATTAGTACAAATAGTATCATCCGACATTTATTCTTCGGTGCTCTCAATAAATACTAATAATTTACAATAGTTGTTATGTACACATAATTTATATATTAATGACAATTTTTACAAAATTTTATTTGACTAGAATTAATTATTATTCGACGCTAAATGTTTGTAGTGAAATGTTTTTGAAGAAAACGTCGAGCAAAGTTATTTTTTATTCCGCCCAAGTCGATTTATACACGTGATATGTTTTCACAGTGTTCTCTACACACTGAACATAATTAAATGAACAAGTACTTCGTTTATAATTTTTTGGCGAGTACTTTTGAAAGGTATTTTTTTCACAACGGAATAGGAACCTATACATCAACGAAAGTGACAGAGAGAGAGAGAGAGAGAGAGAGAGTTACAATTTTCAACGTACAAACCAAAAATGGAAATTTCATAGTTTAGTGTTGTTGTTGACGTTATTGTTGTTATTGTTGTTTTGAATAAAAGTGGTTTGAGAGGCGGCGGTCAGACTGAACGGTCTGTTGCCGCCGGCCAACAGTGACTCGATGCTAAATGGATTGAGGCGACGGACCTTGTCGGCGGACGCTGTGGCCGCAGTGGTCAAATTCAACAAGGGCGAAGATTCGTCGTCATTAGGCGGCGGTGGCCGAGGAATGTAACGGCGGTGTCTACTGTAAAGCTCGTCGTCTGAACTACAGCTGTCATCTCGGCATGCTGCAGCGGCCACCGCGGCCGCGGCCGCTCGAGCATACGGCGGTAGGCCTTCGTCCTCGTCATCGTCTTCATCGTCGTCATCGTCGTCATCAAACGTCGTGCTAGCACTGCGCCTAAGTAGTCTCCGATGGTGATCCTCTTCGCCGACGACATCAATCTCTTCATCTCTGCTAGTCTGACCGCTACAACAGCTCGATGAGTCTTGTAACGACAAATCCATTCCGGCGTTGGATGATCCTCCTCCAATTCCGCAATCCAAGAGACCTTGTTTTTTGGCAGCATCTGCACAGATAAATAACGTCAATATGGTTTTTATTGATTTTGCGTAAAATTTATGTAAGAAATTTTATGTTCGCGATAACGTTAGAAGCGTTAAAATATCAGTCTGTTTTTTACATAATCGATACGGTAGACTTTCGATGGTATATTCTGTTATCACTCGACTAGTCGGAGCTTAAGGAGGTTTTAGTTTAGTTATTGTCGTAACGATTTCTTAGTGAATTTTATATACGTATTTTCTCACGAGAGATACAATTACATACTTCCTGGCGGACAGAATGATGGCAAACAAATTGTATTTAACGACCTAAAAAAACCCGACGACAATCTTTCGATTTGTTTTTTGATTGGCTCTCTTTTAGATAAATAATATATCACGTTATGTGTAAAAATTTCAACTGCCGAATCGAATTCGAATAATAGAAGAAAACAATCCTATTGTTAGCGCGAAAAATGTTATTGAAACACGGTTTTTAATAAAATCTCTTATTGCCGGCGACTAGTACATATAATTTGATCGTCGTATGAAATGCCATACGCGAATAAATGCAATCATAATTTAAAGAAAAAAAAAGTAGTATTAATATTGAAAGTATCGTTAGGTACACAGCCGTCAGACAGAAGTGGCGATAATTGCACTATTATACCAATGAAATAACCGAACCGTTCGGTTCTTGTCACGACTGTTTCACAAGACTAATCTAAATCATTTTATAATTGTACGTCTTTAAATCTATCTAATTTGCTAATTGTAAATGAAGCCAATGGCGTAACAAATATTTCATCCATAACAAGCGTTCAGCACGAATATAACATTGGACATCACTCTAGACTAGTGTAACTACAGTTATTAAATGCCACACTTACTATTGGCTTGTTGCGACTCCCATTCTTTGCGCAACGTTTCCAAGTCGACATGTACGCCCTTAGCTGCCAATTTTCTCTGCTGTCTTTCGAGGCTCTTTAGCAATTTCTTTTGTCTGCGCTCCCTTTCCTTGCGCCTCAGTTCGTCTGCGGGTATCGGTTCTCCGGAGCACGTAACCGGGTGAGCGTTGTGCGCCGGTCGACCGGGTCCTTTTTTGGTGTGTTCCTTTTTCCTCCACTTGGCCCTTCGATTTTGGAACCATACCTGCACATAAGACACAAAACATATTGTTGTTATTTCGTCGTGGGAGATTGTTTATAGACAACTAAAGCGTACAAAGTGTTGAGTTTTAATAGGAGACGCGAGCACTATCTTTGAATACAGTTTTATGTGTCCATTCAATTGTGCAGAATCATTCCGGCGGAAAATAAATTTATATCGCCGCTTTGTATGCAGCGAATAGATGCTAGCGGAAAATAACGTTTAAATTTTTTAATATTACAGGAAGATAAAATTAAAAAAATAAACCACCCGGTCTGTCGCCGCAGAACATTATACACGTATATAGATGTGGTTTATCGTCTATTTCGCGCTTCCAGCGTTGGAAACCAGAACGTATTGCACCCCAGGGACTTGTCGCGCAATACGAACTCGGATATGACGGGCGGCGGACAACATGGTGGTGCAGATTATTTAACCATATACTGCACACGAACCATTTGTGTGTTTTCAACCCTCGCGATAAAAAAAAGAAAAGCCCAACAAAAGACAACCCCAAACGCAAAGCGTTCATTGCGAGAAATGAAAGCGGCTCTAAATCAAAGCTGTCTAGAGCTGGCGGCGAAGAGGAGCTATGCTCGAGGGAGCTTACATATATATTATGTAATATAAAAAGTATAAAAAGCCAATTCTCCCTTCGCCAATAATAACAGCCGCTGTACCGCATTACATGTAACGCGCGACAATCGATTTAATGTACTTACGGCCACTCTGGACTCCTTGAGGTCTAACCGCAAAGCTAGGGCTTCCCTCATGAACACGTCTGGGTAATGACTGGCCAGGAAAGCTCTTTCCAGCTCCTCCAGCTGCCACGTGTTGAAATTCGTTCTAGACCTTCGCCGCTTGTTTGCCAAGTCTTCAGAACTACCTGCTGCACTGTCACCATCAATGCCTAAGACAATAAAAGTAATTTTTACAATTAAACAAAATAAATAATAGCAAATATCGAACTTGATCGAAACTCATATTTAGTGGCAAATAAATAAAACAATTTTTAGACCTAAAACTGTATTTTAGTTAAGTATGCATGACGTTTCGCGTGAGTACTTCAACCGAATAAAAGTGCACGAATATTGAATATTAATAAATACGGAAATTGAAATTTATTATTTTCTGTATTGTGTTATTTTCTTCGGTCTGGAAAATAATACTTTATGTCACGGTTTATTTCGTAAAACGGTTATGTCTGACAGTGATATGCATGAAAATGTCGGTTGTAGTGTTTCCAACGAAACCTTCGACCTATCATACGGGGAAGTTTGCAAAGCACAAATATACTGGAAATTCGAAGGATATCTAAACATATGCACTAACGCCTTAGAGCCAGTAAACTTTTCGATTAGAGCCAGTCGAAAAGCGAATTTTGGCAAAAGTTAGCTTTGAGGGGTGTTCGAAATGCAAGCGACGTTGTTCGCTTCTGGAGAATTGAAACATAAGTTTGTGTTTTGTTTACGAGCCGAAAAACTACCGGCCGCGATAAAACTCTTCATACATTTGATCTGATAGATAGGCCCGCCGGGATATTGTAGCAGTTATCATGTATGACATTACACGATGGCCCGAAAAAGTCGGCACGAAGGGAAGGCAACGAGTTAAAACAATTTCGCATATGTGTCGTAAATCACGAGCAGCCTCGACGCGCGAGAATATTGGCCGAAGCAAACAGCTGCTGTGCAAGTAAACGATATTTTATATATTATCTATTGCAGTGCGCCAACACAGAGCTGATCGTATACAGATACCAAAGGGGCGCGTGTATACGGTTTTCGAACTAAGACTGCGGGCTTTATTGTCTCTCAGACAGCCGTAAATCACGGAAATATGGAAAAACATAAAGAGACGACCGCCGACTAGATAGTATTATTATAATAAAATTTGGCGGTTTGTGCTTTTGCGAAGAGAAAAATTAATTTTCACGCACAATGGCCGCCCAAAAACGTCTCAGTATGACAACGTTAAACGGCCAAGTATATTATCATCAGAGTCCAATTGTTTTTATGGTATACGATACCATTCTCGACGTTATGGCGTCGCTTCGCTAAATTATTTTTCATACATCGCCATATCTCGTTGGATTTATCTAATAAAGCCAATCTCAAATATTATCGTGTTATTTTCTCTACTGTTTCCGAGCGCATTAGATATTCCAGTCGATTAAAAAGCAAGCCCACCCGATATCTAAGAGCGTCAACTTGATCGTTAGCCAACTATTATACTGAGCTGTTAAAAAAAAAAAACGATTTTCGCTTGAGAAAATTCTTGAACAACAACAAACTGTAATTTATTAATTGGCCGCGTTTAAATAAATAATAATTGGACTTTTTATAGACCCAAAAGTATTCGGGGCTGTGTAATAATTTTTTACGGCTTGGTTAAAACTGACCATAAAAGCGGTAGAGCATTAACACGACTGGGATTTTCCTCGGCTTGGAATCAATGGCGATGCAACGAGGTGAGAACGTTATTATCGTTATCAATGCGAGATAGACGACCGCGATACGAGAAAATAATAACGCAATAAACATGTAACCTGTACCCGTTTTGAGATTGGGTGGACCATACGACTACCGTGTCAAACGCATAACAGTATTCGTTAAAATTGAATTAACGATACTCTCACGACAGGCGCATCGCTTTCTCTCTCTCTCCTGATAGTATAAATACCTTTTAAAATAACATAAGTAACGACAAACGACCATAATAAACAACAGCAATAGAAATATAATGGCAATAACAACAATAGTAATAACAGTACAACTCGAGTTGAAACCATAAATTATACGCTATGCTGTCTGCAATTATATTAGTATTAATCGGCGACAGGTGGGAAACAAAACGTTCGTATCTATCTGACCGTATGCAAAAAAAAAAAATAAGGACTGTCTGTTTCTTGAAAAAATTATTTGAAAGCGGCAAACGAAAGGTGTTTGGATTAGGTTGAATGATGTCGGCAGGGGGTCGACTTTAATGGACTCGATGAGACACCAGTCACCACCACTGTTGTCAGCACGCACAATAATAAAAATGTTTGTTACTCGTGTCTAACTTTACCCACATATTCATTGACGCTAAAAAAACGTTTATGTCTTGAACGTGCGAAAATATTTCTCACGGAAATTCGATTCGACCATTTATCCTAAGTATTATTATCGTCTCAATTAAGGTCTCTTATCCGATATTCTACACTGTTGTGTTCATCGACTTGTCTCTCGATAGCTTTTATACCCAAGTATAAGTTTATCCGTGTAACATAAAGTACGTCAAACATTAGAGTGTCGCCATTGTTATGCAGCGTGTGAAAATGAGTAAACAACCAAAGTTTACTTATGAGTTTCTTCCAAGTCGACCTTTCACGAGGGCCAATGTAGGAGTTTCTACAGTTTCTAATTAAGCCAACTTTGTTATATATTGTTTGATAGATGACGACGGTTCGGAGTAGTTCTAATTTAGGTAATTATACGTCTAAGTGAAAAGACATCTCACGGAAAACAACACACTAAACATAGTTAATCAAATTTCCCGTTATTATAAAAACTATCATTGAACAAACTTTAATTTTTATTTTCTGTGAACCTTCGCGGATACTGTTTATATTTTACTCAAAGTTAAGTTTATCAAGTCTCAATCCACTGGAAGTCATCACTCACATTTTGTTACTTTAATTGTCTTATAAATGCAAAATACGTACCGGCGAAATAGTTCATACTACAGTACCATTGATTGTTCGCAGATTGGCACAATTAATTTTTACAATCTCTTAGGGGCTGATAATTCCTTTTAAATATTAAAAAACAACATTTCACGTCCTTGAATGTAAAATGCAAAGTCATTAAACGTCATTGTGTTATATATCGTTTACAAGGAACTATTATCGTCTAATAACAGTCATTATTAAAAAGCGATTAAATACAAAGACTTTATTGATACATGACAGGAGCGCGTATGGTTTGTAGTAATTTATATCGATGTAATTTCTTGGGGGACGGAAGTAGTTAAAAAGCCTATCTGAACAATCGCCTAATAAGGGTATAGCGAGAAAACCGTTTAACTCGATCCCAGAGAAGTAACATAATAACTTTTCTATGGGATATAAATCAACACGTTGGCATCATAATTTTACCACAGCAGTGGTATGAAATCGAGGTCTCCATCTCACCAAAAACCTACCTCTTCTATACCTAACACTGGTGAAATCCAGGTGCCCCTCCCCGGTCGGTTTCAGACGTTTTTGAGAGGCCGCCTCGCAACAGAGTAATAATAATAATAATAATAATAATTGTATAATTTAGTGTGTCCGACCCGAATTTTGGCTTCTTCCATCGGCCACCTGTGACTGACAGTCATCTCCTTTAAAAACCCGAGAAATATCATAATAATAACGATCGTTACCGGTCGCATATATTCCAACGAAAAAAAAAGAGTCGTTAATTCGGCTACACAAACAGCAGAGGGGCTAGTGGGTGTTAACTACGTGTGTATACTTATGTATATACAATGTTACGGAGAGGAAACGCCTGTGCAAAGGAGCGTGATTTGAATTGTAATTTCCTGTAAATAAACCACCGCCGGGTCGCCCTTTTTCTTTACACGACCCTCTTTACATTCACAAGCCGAAAATATATTTTTTCAATACCGTTTTCACGACATTGTACAGTAGTCTCGGGGAGTACTCTCGGACGAGGGGGGGGGGCAAAACTCTGGGGCCCATAAGCTCAAAGGGCTCATCACAAATTTTACTAGCTTATCATGATTAGTGACGTTTAGTTTTTCTGTTTTTCTTTGCTCATGTGTATTTTTTCACCAAAATTATAGACTTATGAAGCAATTGCTCTGAAGTGTATTAAGTCTTAATAAACAAGTCAATAAAAAAGGAAATACTGTTAAAAAGTTAGTGGGTTTCAAAAAATTTCACAAAGCGACAGTCATTTATTTATTTATTTGACGGCAATCGGCAAAAGAAAAATACAAGTAGAATACTTAATAATAGATTTAAAATTTAACATTTAATTTTAACAAATAACAATTTTTAACAAATCATATGTTTGATTTAATACAAATGAGTTTATTAAATGTTAACAACTTAATGTGTTGAGAATGTCAGATAGTTACCGTTTCTGACTGTTTTATAACGAAGTTGCCAAAATAACTTCATTTGACTATTAATTTCGTTTAAAGCAATAACTTGTTTAATATAAACCTCATCCAATATTTTTTTCGAATTAGAAGTTCTCGTTCTTTGACTCGTATAATTTATTATTATTATGAACACCATACATAATTATTTATGGGAAATTATATTCATTTTAAATTATGTGTTTTCACCAAAATGTAAATTTTAACATTAATTCACCGCTTGGGTTATCATTGAGTAGTTCTATCAAATTAAAAAATGTTAAATTTATTTTTTATAAAGAAACTATTATATTTAACAATAATTTTTTCTATTTTATCATATCAAAATAATAGAATAATGCGTCCTTTGATAACCTAAATAAAGAGGATAAGCACCATTGTGTTTACCATAATTAATTACAACTTGAGTAATGTTGGAAGAACATCTAAATAGTTTTTACATGATTTAATGTAAAAATCAATAAGGTCGTAAATAACTCAATTAAAACCTTAACAAATTGTTAAATTGTAATAATTTAACGTGTATTTTTTTAATCCCTATATTGTCTAACCTAACGTTTATAACCTTATGTAAATTGTTTTTTGATAAACTAAGACTTTACTTTAATTTAATATTTAAAGTAATGAAATGATTGAATTTAATTCTATACTATTCTAATGTAGCCGTTTGATATTGTCTTAATTAAATTTTTCTCAAAACTCATTAACCATTGTGTAAAGATAACAAAATTAAACAAGTAAAATAAAACAGTGTTTTTA